ATCCATGTTGCTGCAAATGGCATTATTTTATTATTTTTATGGCTAAGTAGTATTCCATTGTATAAATATACCACAGCTTCTTTATTGAGATGACATTCCTTTTTGATCTTGTAAGGGGCCATGCACGATGATGCTTGCATCTGGATTGTGTAGACTGTCAATAACGTCATTATTAACAGCCCTCTGTCTCAAAAAAAACTTATATAACTGTGCCAGCTTTCTGAGATGCTGGTCCCAGGTTATAATCCTCAATTTGACTCGAATAAAATTTTCCGTTTCTTTCTTAGACCACTTGATTAATTTTTCATGGAAGCATTCTATTGGTTATCAATGTGTCAGAAGCCCACCCTGATTCAAACAAAGGTGCCATAGGATACCACCCCCACCCCTGCCAACCATAGGAAAAGGGGCAAAGTCGCATCATAGAAGAGCCGTGTGGGCATCTTTGGAAATTACAATTGGCCACATTTGTTAAAACCTTCTGGATGAAGCCCAGAGTCTTCAAGTCTATCTCTAGCCCACATCCCTTGGATTCAGATGACACCTTCTCATGTTGGGTATGTCTGCTACATCCATTCAGATGACTTCTTTGCCTGACCAATATACCAACTTGATCAAGTGTTTTGTCTAGCTGAATTTCTTTCCTATTACCTGGCAGGACCACGATACCTGTGGATATTCAAATCATAGCTGATTAGGGTCTGCACATCTCTTGTCCTTCCTGGCTTTGTGGTCAGACTTGTGCCACAAACTTTGTTCTAATTGGGAACATTTTTCCTCAGTTAATTGTTCCTATCTGTACATTTTTTTTTCTTATGAAGAATATCCAACATGTACAAAAGTAGACAGAACCTAGAAAAGTGAATCCCTCTGCACTTCTTACCCATCACAACACCTGGCAAAATCTGACCCAATCTGCATACCCACCCATCTTCAACCTATGAAAGGTAATATTCTTTTTTTTTAATTCACTATTTCTTATTTGTTTGGGGGTTTTTTTTTGAGGGGAGCCAGGTCTATAAGAGTTCCTTTAGTAGGGAAAGATACGGTCTGTAGGAACCAAAATCTGCGTGCAGGTGTGCTCACTGCAATTCAGGTGTCTCTGCTCCCAGGCCTTCTGGGGGACGGGGTAGGGGATATAATAAGACAGATGTATGTCTACACATGGTAGGGGAGGGAAATTTTTACCTCTGCCCTCCTAGGATTTTTCATCAGGACCTGAGGAGTAAATTGACATATCAAACAAACAGATTAACAGGAGAAATGCATACATACTTATATGTCTTCCGGGGTCCTGGCACCATATAAGGAAATAAACTCAAAGAAATGGCTAAACCGACAAGCTAAGAACAATATAGGCAGTTGTGGAAAAGTAAACTAATACATGGGCGGCTAAAGGAAGATAAGAATGATTTTAACAGGGCCTGTTTTTATAGAACGCTCTAGGTCTCAACTTGCTGATAAAAATGTTACATCTCTTTGGTACAAGTAGGACATCTTTCACGTGGCAGTTTATATCTCTTGTTTTCAGGAGAAAAGAGATTACAATGTCCTTACCCCTGGGCCTGAGGGCCAGTCTCAGCTGAGCACCCTCCTCACCGGCTCCCTCTGACACCCCAGCTGACCCAGCCCTGGGGGAGCAGAGCCTCCTCTGCCCGCTCAGCCCCTCCCCCACCCCGTGACCTCCCCACCCCCACGGGCAGCACTTAATCACCTGCCTACTGGCTGCAGGACCCAACTGCTCAGCACAGGAAGGAAAGGCAGGAAGGAAGAAGAGAAAGAGCAAGTCAGTGTGTCCACAATCCAAGATGGAAACGTACAAGATGACTTAGGGCCTGGACAGTCTACTAGACAAAACTTCACACATGCCCAAATCCCACCTTCAGGTGACAATATTTAAGGGAGCTTAATGAACTCCGTTGGGAACCAACTATGACAGAAAATGCTCCCCTTAGCAAGTGACTGGATTGGTACAATTTACTGTATTTATAACTAGAACTGAGGGTTTTCCATGGACTTCAAAACTTAAGAAAAAGTCAGATTTTCAGACGTGTTATTTTCCTCATTTGTAACTTAATTTGCAAAACCAAAGCAGCCCCTGAATTGTCTCACTGCATATGAAAACCAGCCCAAGGTCACCACGAAGCTGACACTGACAGAGCCTGCGATTTTCCACTCCCACACCCACCGAGGGGGAGCTCAGTACTTCTCGCCCTCACTGCTTCTGAACGAGGGGGAAGGGCAGCAAACGTAGCCCGCTGCCCACCCCTCTCCCTTGTTTGCATGGCAAATGAACGTGGTGGCTCTTAAACGCTGAGGAGTGACCACGTGTCCTGGGGCAGGTGGAGGGGGGCTGGCTGTTTCAGGGGCCTGGGAGGAACTTGATGGGGGTGGTGGTTGCCCTGGCCTGTCTATTGTCAAGACTTGGAGAAGTATTCTGTTAAAATCTGGACGAGTCACGAATAGGACAGACAGCTGGAGAAAGCCAAAACATAGTGGGAAACAAGTACAAACACCACTTACTTGGAAATGAAAAAAAAAAAAAAGGTCCTGAAGACATTACTCAAGAACTGATAGAAGATAATCAACTCAACCGAATAAGAATCCATCCAGGATGCTCACACCGGAGTTATGAGAAATGAACCCGCAATCAAACTGATAACAGATTGATGCAATCATTTCACCAGACCCGAAAGTCAAGTCTGGACTTGCAGGTTGGCAGCATGTGAAGAACTATCCAGGCACAATGAGGAGATCAGGGAAGAGATGGGCTCCC